CGATGCATTGAATATGAGTGACTGAAGACCAAGTGAGTTGTAGGATGACATCAAGAACATCATACATGAAGAAAGCAAAAGGTCATTAAAAAGACAAGAAAGGAAGAAATAATCGTAATGGATATCAGAAGAAACTTTGAAATTTGAATGAAGAGAAGCTAAAGTGAATGGAAGAAATGATGAAATAAAAGAGCTGAACAGAAGATTTCAAATGGTGGCTCTAGAAGGCAAAGTAAAGTATTATAATGAAATATGCAAAGACCTGGAATTAGAAAACGAAAAGGGAAGAACACACTCGGCATTCCTCAAGCTGAAAGAACTGATGAAAAAATTCAAACCTCGAGTTGCAATATTGAAGGATTCTATGGGCAAAATATTAGATGATGTAGGAAGCATCAAAAGATCAAAGATCGTAGGAATATACAGAGTCACTGTACCAAAAACATCAGCATTGGTTGATGTTCATCCATTTCAGGAGGTTAACATGTGATCAAGAACTGTTGATATTGAAGAAATAAGTCAAAACTACACTGAAGGAATTGGTGAAAAACAAGGCTCCAGGAAATGACAGAATACCCATTGAGATATTTCAACTAACAGATGCAGTGGTAAAGACACTCATTTATTTATGCCAAGAAATTTGGAAGACTGGCCAACTGACTGGATTCATTTTTGTACCTATTGCAAAGAAAGGTGATCAACAGAATGTGGAAATTATCAAATTTATATCAATAAATTAATATCACATGCAAGTAAAATTTTGCTGAAGATATTTCAAAAATGCTTGCAGCAGAATGTTGACAGGGAACTGCCAGAAATTCAAACTGGATTCAGAAGAGGATGTGGAGTAAGGGATATCATTGTTGGTATCACATGGCTCTCGGCTGAAAGCAAAGAATACCAGAAAGATGTTAACCTGTGCTGTGTTGACTATGCAAAGGCTTTCAGTGGTGTGGATCATAACAAATTATGGATAGCATTGTGAATAATGGGAATACCAGAACACTTAATTGTACTCATGAAGAACCTGTACATAGACCAAGAGGCTGTCATTTGAACCAAACAGAGGGATACTGCAAGTTTTAAAATCAGGAAAGATGTGCATCAGGGTTGTATCCTTTTGCCATATTTACTCAATCTGTATGCTGAGTAAATAATTTGAGAAGCTGGAATGTATGAAGAAGAGCATGGCATCAGGATTGGAGGAGGACTCATTAACAACCTGTAATACACAAATAACACACCTTGCTTGTTGAAAGTGAAGATGACTTGAAGCACTTACTAATTAATGAAGATCAAAGGCTACAGCCTTCAGTATGGACTACACCTCAACATAAAACAAAAACCCTCACAACTGGACAAATAAGCAATAACATGATAAATGGAGAAAAGACTGAAGTTGCCAAAGAGTTTATTTTATTTGGATCCACAATCAGTGCCCATGGAAGCAACAGTCAGGAAATCAGATGACTTACTACACTGGGCAAATCTGCACACACAAAAAAAACCTCACTGCTGTTGAGTTGTATCCAACTCATTGTGACTTCTCCTTGGGTTTCCAAGACAGTATCACTATGGAAGTAGATTGCCCAATCTTCCTTCCGTGTGGCTGGTGGGTTTGAACTGCCAGTTTTCTGGTTAGCAGTCAGATGCCTTAGGCACTACGCCACCAGAGCTCCTACAAAAGACCTGTGTAAAGTGTTAAAGAGCAAAGACGTCACTTTGAAGACAAAGGTGTGCCTGATCCAAGCCATAGTATTTTTAGTCACCTGATGTGCATGTGACAGCTGGACAAAGAATAAGGAAGAATTGTGGTGTTGGTGAAGAATATTGAAAATACCTTGGACTAGCAGAAGAATGAACAAATCTGTTTTGGAGGTAGTATAGCCAAAATGCTCCTTAGAAGTGAACAGGGCCAGACTTCATCTCATCTACTTTGCTTGTGTTGTGAGAAGGGACCATTCCCTGGAGAAGCATATTGTGCTTGGTAAAATAGAGTGTCAGTGAAAAAGGGGCTCAATGAGATGGCTGCAGTGATGACCTCAAGCACAGCAAGAATTGTGAGGATGGTGCAGGTCTGGGCAGTGCTTCGTTCTGTTGCACACGGGGTCACTATGAGTTGGAACCAACTCAGTGGCACCTAACAACAACAACATCGTTATTAGAATTTCTCTTGAAATTTATTCCCTTGAATGTAGGAAAAGCACCTGTGGGATTGTTTCTGTTGTGAGCTGAACCAGCTACTTTTTTCATGGACCATTTTTGCTTGAAAGAACAACTGACAGACAAAGTATGGTTATTTAGACTTCAGTATTTAGCAGACATTTTCTTAGAAATGAAGTCAGTTTTGTTTAGGAAAGAGTGGACGGAATTTGTTACTAATGATAGAATTTGAGTTTTCAAGCAAAAATTAGAATGTTGGAAAGCTCACATTCTCCATTTTGAGTCTTACTTAGACCTGTCTGATGAGATTAGTGGTAATATTAATGGATGTGATTTTTTGAGTGATTCTATATTGAAATGTGTCGACATTTAAAAGATCTGTGTAATTCATTGAACCAGTGTTTCCCAGATGACCAGTGTTCAATGTCACAAAATCACGCAGAGTTAAAAGATGTGTTCAGAGTGCAAGCTAGAGAGTGGATTTAAACATAACAGATTGTGAAAAGTTTGTTGATATGGTCTCAGATTTCAGCTAACCTTTAAGAAGCTAGTATTTAGTGACTGGTACACCATGTGATCTGCAGCCTGTACAACTATGAGATCAGAAGAACTTGATGGTGCCCAGCTACCACTGTCAACCACTTGGAGGGGGATCTTTGTAGGAGATCCTGGATAAAGAGGGAGAACAATGTGGAACAAAACTGAAAATCATTTGGAAGAAAAAAAAAAAAAAAAGTGGGGGGAGGACCAGGTTTGCTGGTCTGATAGAGCCTGGTGGAACCCCTGAAACTATGGCCCCTAGCTGCCTTTAGGTCTGGAATTGAACCCACACCTGTGGCTTCCAGCCAAACAAAAGACAGGCATATGAGTTGAACATACGAGGTTTACCTGAGGTAGATACACTCCATGGAGAGAACAATCATGGGAGAAAGAAGGGCTGTTAATGCACAGGGAGACAGCTCAGGCGGTAGGAGTGCATGGAGGGATAGACACAGGGAAGAGGTAACTATGGGGAGGAAGTGGGAGGGGAGCTGTTGCATTGGGGTAAATTGTGTTATGAGACAAAGTGTATGTGAACTGCTATGTGGAAAATAAATTTTCACCCAAATCACAATTTAAAAAAAAAAAAGCTAGTATTTGTTGATTTTGGTGTACACTTCCTCCTTACCTATCAACTGTCTCATTATCTGACATTTCACATTTACAACAATAGTGAAAAAACCTATTTGACTGTTTTGTTCACTGATTTTCATGTAACAAATGCCAGGGTGCAAGGAAAAGTAGTGCTGGCTGTGGTTTTGAAGGTTATGTGCCAGCTTGGCTGGACCGTGATTCTCAGTGGTTTGGCAGTTATGTAATGATGAGCTTTGGTAGTTATATAATGATGTGATTTGGCAGTTATATAATGCTATAATTTGACAGGTATGTATTTATATCGTTATCATCCATTCTGTGATCTGATGTGGTCATCCACCATTTTTACCTATCAACAATTTTTGCATAATGGCCTGGTTTTTGGAACCTAACCGTGTCAATAAATGAGGAGTGGGTATAATATCAAAGTAGAATATCTACAGTTATTTGAAATGGCCATAAAATATCCCTTCCTTCCCAGCTACATATCTATATGAAGCCAATTCTTTTCACATACTCCAACCAAAATGACATATTGTAGCAGATTAAATACAGAAGAAGATATGAAAATCAGCTCTCTTTTATTAAGGCAGACATTAAAGAGATGTGCAAAACAGTGCCACTCTTCTTACCGCATTTTTATATTGGGAAATATAGTTATTTTTCATAAAAAGAATATTTGTGTTAACATGCAGTGGGCTTATTATTGTTTTTAAATGAACTAATACACTTTAAATTTTTTTCTATTTTAATTTTAAATATGGCAAATGTCAATAGCTATAGAACCCATACAAACAAAAATTATTTATGATCTTCAATAATTTTTAAAATTTCATTGTTGTTGAGAATATGCACAGCACAACTCAATACTTCTTAATAGTATAAAATTTGAGAACCATTGTCCTGAAGGAAGCTCTTTACTGTAAAGCACTTAGGATTTCAAGGGCCATACCTCCTATAGTATATGTGGCAAGACAGTGATTTTCTCCAAGTTCCAGATATAAACTACAGTAAATGAACTCTGTGCCAGTGAGAAAGGTAGTGAAATCCATTGAAATATTCTATAGCTCATCACTTGTGTGCTTATTAAGGGGATGTCATGATGATCATTCTGTAGTAAAGAATTATTTTCCATTGAAGTTCTGTTTTTAGGAAGTTAACCACTCTAGAAATATTAAATATCTTTTTTACAAAGCAATTCTGCCATTTATAATAAAAATAGGCATCGAGTGCGCAGAGGGCCACCCAGCAGCAGAGTTGTCTTGCTCCCAGACTGCAGTCTCTGTGTGCTGTCTACCTGGTGACACATCAGCTGTGGAGCACACCAGACTTAATGCTCCACGTACTGCCTTAAGGACTCACCAAGGTGACTGCCCTGAATATATTGACTTTGGCTTCTTTGCCAGGGTCCTGTATTTAACAGGATGAGATGGGTAGATAGGCCCTGGTGTTAATGGCATTTCTATACCAAATTCAGTACCTTTCTAAAATTGCAGAAGTCACCTTATTTCAAAAAACATAATGGAAGGGAATGAAACAACTACTCTTGCCTTCTGTTTATTGCATTCCAAGTGGTTTGCTTACTCCATGTCTCCGTTTAGAACTTGACTGATTTACTGATTTTGTCCTTTATTTCTGTTTTTCTATGTGGCTGTCACTTTATGTGACTGTCTCTGTCCCTTTTCTTGGCCTGTTGATTACAGTGGCATCCTGTGCTGAGCACACTGAAGAACCGCATTGAAGAGAACACTGGCCACACCTTCAACTCCTTACTCTGCAATCTTTATCGAAATGAGAAGGACAGTGTGGACTGGCATAGTGATGATGAACCCTCACTAGGGAGGTGCCCCATTATTGCTTCACTCAGCTTTGGTGCCACACGCACTTTTGAGATGAGGAAGAAGCCCTCACCAGTGAGTATTCTCTATCTTTTTATGCTCTTCCTGCCTTCTATGATTCTGTGGAAAAGGTAGTTCCTCAAAGTTCCTATTTTCAGATTTAGAAGATAGTAGTGTGTGTTTACGGGGAGCTCTGGTGGCTTAGTGCCTAAGGCATTTGACTGCTAACCAGAAGGCTGGCCATTCAAACTCACCAGCCACTCCTCAGGAGGAAGATTGGGCAATCTACTTCCATAGAGATACTGCCTCGGAAACTCAAGGAGGGATCACTATGAGTTGAATCAACTTGACGGCAGTGAGAGTGTGTGTTTTGTTGATGAAACATTCTCTCAATTGGTTGCTCACCCCATGGTTGACTTCTGACATCCAGTATACCCATTCAGTCATATATTCATCCAACAGGAGTTGCCTGCTTTGTGTCAAGTGCTGTAGACTCACTGCCATGTAGTACGGTTACATTGGTTTAAAGGGTAATCACAGTCCCTGTCCTCATGGAGATAGAGTCTAGTGGGGAAATAGGTATTACTGACCACTCAAACAATTGCAATTGTGAAAATACTCCAAGGGAGGGTTATAAAGAAATAGGCCAAGCCAGTGGAGGCAAGAAGGGAAAGGAAGGAGGCTTAAGGAAGATGCCCTGGAGGAAGCCTTTAAGTGCGTGTTCTTCAAGGTAAGGTTTCCACTTTTCTGTCACAAAGCATAATGTACACACGTGTCACTTTCTCAGCAGAGCAATGCCAAGGAGGTTCTCTCTCCTTCATAAACAAGGACTTAAGCCAGATTATCAGAGGGCATGTTCCAAGGTTAAATAGAAAATCAGTGACTAAACTGACTGTATACTAACTTCAGGTTTCCATCCCAGCTCTTTTTTTTTTTTTTAAAGACTTTTTATTGTGATTTGGGTAAAATCTTACAGAGCAGATTCGTTTTCCATTCACCAGTTCATACACATTTTGTTTTGTGCCATTGATTACAATCCCCACAACGCAATAGCTGTCTTCCCAGTTCCTCTCATGGGCACTTTTCCCTGTGTCCATGTCTGTATGCATTCCTGGCTCCCCAGCTTTCTTCCTGTGTAGATGTTGCCCTCTGATCTCCTATGGTTGATTGTGCTAGGGAGTGCATCTCCCTTGTGTAATTGTTCAGCTCATGGACCTATTATTTGGCTGAGAGCTAAGGCGCAGGAGTTCAATCCCAAAGGGTGACTAGGGATCATGGTCAAGGGGGTTTCGCCAGTCTCTGTTGAACTAGTGATCCTGGTCTTTTTTACGTTTTTGAATTTTGTTCCACATTTTTCTCCCACTCTATTCAGGATCTCCAGTTTTGATCCTTTTTGAAGTTGTTGGTGTTGGTAGCCAGGCACCATCTAGTTCTTCTGGTCTCCACCCTAGTTCTTACCTAGATTATATGATATAGAGAGATACTAGAGCTATGAATTTTTTTTTTAATCACAAAAAGGAGTAAGATAAATAATCAATGCCAGTGAATTGTGGATGTAGAAACTGTTGAATTGGTGAGTGTGTTGTATATTTTTACACCACAGTTAAAAAGAAAAAAGTGGAGAGAAAAGATAGAAAGATAGTAGGAACTCCAGGAAAAGGAGCTATCTCTATCAAATTGTCTTGCTTCCAGGGTTTGTGTCTTTTTCTACTCAAGGTTCCCCACGATTCAGCCTGTAGCATTAAACCGGACCTAGTCTCTGTGAAGGTCTAAAGGCTGTTTATTGACTGTGACCTAATCCAGACCACTTAGTTATCAGTCCATGTTCATGTCTGTTCTTCATTAGATAACCTCTCTGAGAATAAAATTGGTGACTAATCTTTTTCCTGGATTTCCAAACATGGTATTTTGAAATTTACTGAGTTATTTTGCATATTAGCTACTTTTTGCCCTTAACTACTTTTTGTTGGTACAGTTTCCTTTGATTGGGTTTCCTTTGCCTTTGTTTGGACAGAAGCTATGTTGCATGTTAGCAGGGAATTGTCAGTTGCCAATAATTTATTGAGTGAACTTATTCTCTGAGCCCTTTGAATAGCCTTCATGGTTTTCATTGGCTATCAGCTTCTCTGCACCAAGGAGTACTACTCAAGAATCAAGCTATCCAACCTTTATTGTATTCTCTTTAAGTATGGTTTGGCTTCTGTACACAGGCTTCCACTCAGTTAAGTCCTGAGGTCACACATGCAGAGAATTCATCCAGCCCTCAGTAAGACTGCTAATATGAAAACCAGAGAGACACCATATATCACACTTTTCAGTTCAGATCCACTTCTCAAGCCAGATGCATGGAATATTGACTCTGTTCCAGGCACAGTCCTGGGAGCTGGGGCTGTAGCTCGTGATCTAGCACGTGCCCCTCCCAGTGTAGCCAGTGCAATCCTTGGTTTAATCTTGGTCCTCAGGTCTTCACAGTTGTTTTCTTTGTTGCTGAGTATTCAAGTATCAATTACAATATCTTTACACACACATTTACCACTACTGCCTCATTTTTAAATTGTGGCTTATTTATAGATTTGGCACTTAAGAACTCCAAAAGTATGCTTTTCTGGATAATTAGTTTTACTGTATAGTTTCCAACTATTAAGCACTAGCAATATTTCAGTGCCCAGAAATATTCATTCCTTCTCCCTCCAGATAGCTGAAACTCTTCATTTTCTGTATAAAAACATTATACAATTGATTTTTGTTATTTGCAGTAATTATGTTCTATAAAGTTCCCATGAACATTGAATCAGTAAATACCAAACCAGCCTTGGTAAAATGGAGGGTCAGAGAAAAAGGGGAAGACCCTCGACGAGATGGATTGACACAGTGGCTGCAACAGTGGGCTCAAGCGCAGTAAGGATTGTTAGGGTGGCACAGGACCGGGCAGTGTTTCGTTCGTTGTATGTAGGGTCACTGTGAGTCAGAATTGACTCGATAACACCTAACAGCAACAACAACAAACATTGTGCGTCAGGTGAGTCAAATTTTTTGCCAGTCAGGGCATGCCCATGAAAGCATTCTGAGTATTGATTTGGGGGTTACAAAGAACTGTTAGCAAATAGGCAGATTTGCAATACAGAATCCACAAATAATGAGGATTGAAGTCCCTGGGTAGTGCAGACAGTCTGCACTCGGCTAGTATCCCAAAGGATGTCAGTTTAAACCCACCCAGCAGCACCTTTGGTGATCCATGCCTGGTGAATGGCTTCTGTAAAGATTACAGCCAACCTGACCCCAGGGCCTCTGAAGTCTTTCCAAATGAATACATGAACAAACAAATGCCCCGACAGATAATGAGGATTGATTGACTGTACAGGGGAATGAAGAACTATTTCTTGGTAATGTACTTCATCTATAAGTTAATAGGTTATAGATCAATGTGTGAACCGAGAACATAACTACCACATACACATTGCTTCTGAGGGAAACTATTTGGAACAAAATGTGTGTGTAAGAAAGAGGCTGCCTGCACTGAAGCTTTATCTTCTCCTCAAGGCTTCTTGGAATCTGTTTTGATGAACACAAGTGAAAACACAGGCCATGAGATGCTTATTTTAAAATGTGGTCGAATCCCTTTCGTTGTCTGCCAGTACCAGGGGAATCGTCTCTATAGCTATGGTAGCTGACTTGATGAGAATACACATCTAATGAGTAAGAAAAGTTGCCTAAGATCTTGAAACAAAGTTGGCGATGGAAACTGGGGACGAAATATAAATATTTCAGTACCTCTAGTTAATGACTAGTGAGTTTTGATTTCCTGCTTAGTCTTAACTTTGTTGAGTGTGATACAATTTTTTGCATATCTTTTCAATTCTGGCTTTTGTTTAAGATGAAGAAGTTGAATATTATATTTGAAATGAAAATAATGAACTAGAATATAGCTTAAAAATGACCTTTTTAAAAGGACCTATCCATTTGATTCTTTGGTAAACAACACCCAAATTTAAACTTTTAGAAAGGCTCCTTTAGGTGTCATTAAGAGATTCCGAATGTCTGGGGCTCCACAAAGCTAGCCAACCCAAAAGTGCAGAAGCCTTTCTCAGAGTTGACAGCCTTGGGAATGTACCTCTGAGTTCACCATCTCTATCTTACTATAATGATCTCATTCTGAAGGATTGAAAAGAAATGTCATTGCACATTTGGGTCTACTTTTCTTTTCATACTAAGGTGATAGCTCAAAGAATATGATTCACAATTCATCCAAGCCATGGTAAAAACATAAAAAGTATAAATTAGGTTAGTAGTCTGTGTGGGGTTTGTAGGAGTCTGACTAGCTGTAACTCTCACGGACCATTTCATAGACCACTGTAGGTTATAGAATGTCAGCAGGACATTCGGGGTGCACTCAAGGCTATGGTGGGAAATCTTTTCAGACTCCACTTTGTTGAACCTGTCAGATGAGAAGCTAGTACCTGTTCTCATCTGGCTCCTGCACTTCACTCAAATATGCACTTTTGAGACAGAAACGCCTGTTTTGGGCCACTTTCAAAGAGAAATAATCTCGATTTTTTGAAAATTCAGACTCCTCCACCCCTGCAGGCAGCTGCGCATTTTGCAGTCTGGCACCTCAAGCAGATCTCTGTAGCAGCTGATCTTCTGAAAGCTGCCTCAGCTCCACACATCGCATCCCTGACAGTTTCTCACTGTGCAGAAATGGAAAGGGGATCTTTGTTTCCTAAGCATCAGTGCCCCCTCTGACTCACACAGTTGGCTCAGTCAGCTTCTTGCGAGCATCATCCCTGGAATCAAACATCCCGCCCACCACGGTGCTGTCCAAATCTGCCGACTCCTGCTCACTCATTTTTATTTTATAGTAAATGACCATTTCCTTTAATCAGAGGAAGGTGCTTGGGGGTGCAGTAGACTTGCCTGATCTTGCTCTTCCATTCATCTGATCCCTTCTTTTATTTACTCAAATTAAAGAGTGAACAGCACCACAAATATCTCTGGACAGTGTCAGGGTAAACTGTCTTAAGACCAAAGGAAAGCTTACCAAATATACTTCAGTAGAGCTTTTTTAAGAAACCAAG